TGCATATAATCTGTCCTATAAAACAGACTAGTTGCTCATATTTATTACAAATTTTAATTAATCTATCTCTATAAAATATGTTTTGAGTCATTATATTTTTTTAGGATTATAGTATCACTTTTTCAAAGCTTAAAAGACTACTTTTTTAAAGCTTAAAATACTACTTTTTTTGTTAAATCTAACTAGATTTTGTACTTCTAGACTATTTTGAAATATTTCCAAAGTTTATAGATCATTTAGAAAGAAACTAAACTTTTTAGATTAAAATGAAATCAAGTTGATAGTTAATAGACTAAAAATTTAATTAAGCCCTTTTTTTTTTGTTTCCCACAAACCATACTCTTAGCCAGATAAATATTGTTCAGCAATTTTAGAGATAGGTACAGGCAAACTCTTCTGGGCCCTGCGATTCCCCTAGAAAGCTGCATGCTAAACACAAAAATTCAATTCTCTAAGTAGGGGAGGATTGCAGTGGCGGAACTACCAAGGGGATGGGTTAGGCATAGGCCCTACCCTTTCCCCCTAAAAACAATGAGAAAAAGAAGGGCAAGGAGGGAAGGCTGGTAATTGGTAAAAATTGATAATTAGCCCAATTACATATTAGTTTGAGTAAAAAAAATTTAGTTTTTTTTTAAAATAGAATTTTGAATTTAAATCTTGTGAATGGAAAATAGATATTAGAAGAGCTTCTCCTTATAAGATCCAACGTGACTCGATTTAAAATTAATCAAAAATTCAATGTAATTACTAAATATCAAAAAATTAATAGAAAAAAAATGATAATTAAACTACAACTCAACTCTTGCTTTTTTCATGTTTATTAGTGGATTTCAATATTTCGATGATATATAAATTATTTACTTAAGAAAACTTCATCAATTACCTTATATTTAGTGTAACAAATAATTTTAAAATATTAAAAAATTAAAATTTTAAAATAAACTTTCTCTCTATTTCCTTTGCGTCCATCTTCAGTTTCGTCTCATCATAGCTATTGATAGAAGGCTTTGAAGAATTTGCCACAAATGCAATGAAATCCGGCATGTAGCTCTTTTAGCTGTTCAAAAATTACAAAATAATTCCACCGTGACTACATCATTGACTTATTGGATTTAAAGGTGTAAGTCTCTCATGAAAAAAGATTGAACATGTATAATCCGACATGTGTTTCAAGTGCAAAACTTTTATGCAGTTGCAATGCTATCTCAGTTTTATCACCTAGGGAGAAGTTTCCTTTATTTTGAAGAACCCCTTGATGTGGTTCAAGCTCTTCTTCAAGAAGATAATTCAGGAGTTTGTAAATCAAGCGCCACTAGATAATCCAATGCCGTAAGCATTGCCCAATGTGCCAAAAAAAACAAAAATGCAAAGAAATCCATCCAAATGGTGCACAGGTAATCACCACTAAGAGATCAAATTACATTAGCACAATTACTCTTAATAAAATGGACATAA